CAGTGGGGAGCTGGCTTCAGCGCCAAGACCCCCTGCTGTGGGTCGATGCCCTAACACAGCCGGGGGCAAACTACGGCCCGGCCCGTTTGAAATGAATAAAACTAAAAAAAAAAAAGACCGTACCCTTTTATGTAATGATATTTACTTTGAATTTATATTAGTTCACACAAACACTCCATCCATGCTTTTGTTCCGGCCCTCCGGTCCAGTTTAAGAACCCATTGTGGCCCTCGAGTCAAAAAGTTTGCCCACCCCTGCCCTAACCCCTCAGCCCTATGTCCCCTAAACCCATGGTCGGCAAACTGCGGCTCGCGAGCCACATGCGGCTCTTTGGCCCCTTGAGTGTGGCTCTTCCTAAGCCTTAGGAATACCCTAATTAATAACAATGTACCTACCTATATAGTTTAAATTTAAAAAATTTGGCTCGCAAAAGACATTTCAATTGTTGTACTGTTGATATTTGGCTCTGTTGACTGATGAGTTTGCCGACCACTGCCCTAAACCCATCACTTTTTTTAATCCTCACCCAAGGATATTTTTCCATTGATTTTTTTAGGGAGAGTAGAAGAGAGAGGGAAAGACAGAGAAGTATCAATGTGAGAGAAACACATCCATTGGTTGCCTCCTGCATGAGCCCCAACCAGGGCCCAGGCCGGGGAGGAGCCTGCAACCAAGATATGTGCCCCTGACTGGAATCGAACCCGGGACCTTTTGGTCCGAAGTCCAATACTCTATCCACTAAGCAAAACCGTCTAGGGCAGGGGTGGGCAAACTTTTTGACTCGAGGGCCACAATGGGTTCTTAAACTGGACCGAAGGGCCGGAACAAAAGCATGGATGGAGTGTTTGTGTGAACTAATATAAATTCAAAGTAAACATCATTACATAAAAGGGTACGGTCTTTTTTTTTTAGTTTTATTCATTTCAAACGGGCTGGATCCGGCCTGCGGGCCGTAGTTTGCCCACGGCTGGTCTAGGGCTAAATCCATCCCTTTTAAATATATATATACATTTTTATTGATTTCAGAGGAAGGGAGAGGGAGAGATAGAAACACCAATGATGAAAGAGAATCATTGATCGGCTGCCTCCTGCACACCCCTCACTGGGGAGTCAAGCCCGCAACCCCGGGTCTGTGATCTGATGGGGAATCGAACCCTGACCTCCTGGGTCATAGGTCGATGCTCACCACTGAGCCATGCCGGCCGGCCCCTCAGCCTCTTGTTTCGCAGCTGGGATGCAGGCCAAAGAGGCCAAGTGATTCGAGTCAAGCGAGGCAGCCAATCAGGAGGGCCTGGGAGGAAATAGGTCCCCGCTGCCCTGGCCATTTGCTGAAGAAGAAAAACCGAGGCTGGAATGAGCCCCTTTCTGCGTCCCCACCAGGCGGGGACGGGGCTCCAGTCCTTGCCGTACCCCAGCCTCATCCCAGCCCAGGGCGGCGGCAGCGGGTGGCCAGGGCACCTGTGGCTCCCAGCCCTGCGAGGTTGGCACCGTGAGCTGTGGTCATGCGTGGGCTCGGGCTGCACTGACCCCGCTGAGTCCAGCCTGGCAGTGACCAGGCCCCCCACGGTCCCACCCCCCGAGCTGGAGGCTGGTGCGTGTGCACCTGGCGGGTCATTAGCGGGAGGTCAGGGACGCTCTGGGCTCCGGGCGGAGTGAGCACCTGGGAATCCCTGCTGCTGTCCTGGGCCCGGAAGGATTTTCCCATCCTGACTCCAGATGAGGAGGGTCAGGTCGTGAGGGGACGGTCTGTGCCTCTGGCCACAGGGGTCACCGAGGTGGAGCCTGAGTCCAGGTGACCTTCCTCGGGCTGCGGTCTCGGTGTGAGGGCTGAGCAGGGGTCTCAGGGCCTCTGAGCCGGCCGAGCTCAGGGGGCCTGAGCTGGACTGAGGTCAGCCATTGGCATGACCCTCCTGTGCCCTTGCCCTGGGGGTGCCTGGGAGCTGCCCCTCCAGTGTCTGACCTTCCCCAGGCTGTGCAGGCTCAGCCCCAAGGCTGACATGTGGGGCTGCCAGACCCAGCAAGTCAGCACGTGAAATATCTCATGAGACACGTGCACGCTGGAAGGTCATTTGTTGTTTCTCTGAAATTCAATTTATTCGGGCGCCTATTGCCCAGGCCTCTGAGTCCAGGGTACCAGGCGCCCAGCCCCACATTCCGGAGGCTGGTCACTCCGGAAACACCAGGCTCTGGGAGGCCTTAGGGATGCAAACATCCTAGCCCGAGGCCCTCCCGGCCACAGCCACCAGGGGGCAGCAGCACCCAGCGCCCGAGCTCCTCTGCAGGTGGGGCCCTGACCCAGTTCCCAGGTCACCCAGTCCCTCAGCAAACGCTGGCGGAGCCGATGGGGACAGGGCTGCCCTGGCCATTTGCTGAAGAAGAAAAACCGAGGCTGGAATGAGCCCCTTTCTGCGTCCCACCCGTTGGGGCCAGGGGCAGGGCGGTGCCCACAGCAGGGGCAAACCTGGGCTGGCTGACGGCTGGGGGCAGAGGCGTGGGTTCCCCCACCCCACCCACCGGGAACGAGCTGCGAGGGCTGCCACTAAACGCAGCCGCACACTCGTCCCCAGGGCTGTGGCCTGGCTCAGAGGGAGATCCAGGGCTTGAAGGGGCTCCCACAGCCTTGTCCCCAAACCAGGCTGCTCCCCAGAAACTCCTCCTGAGCCCGACAGGGAAAGACCCCAGCCCAGCCCTGGCCTCCTGCCTGGCCCGTGAACAGCTCCTGGGGCCCTGCAGCCTGTGCCTGCGGCCCCTGCCTGTCGGGAGTGGGCGATGCCCCCAGTCACCTCCTGAAGTGCCCACAGGGCCCCGCAGCCCTGGGCTCTGCTCACAGCCGCCCCGCCCTGGCGTGCACAGGTGGGTGCTGTGGGAAGGGAAGGGTGCTGCCTTCACCCATCCTTCCCACCCCCCACCCACGGAGCCGGCCCTGAGGCCAGGGTCCAGGTCCACCCCCATGACCAGTGTCGCCTGCTTCCCATCTCTGCACGTCTCCATCCGAGCACTTCCCACACTGGGACTGCCCCACAGGGTGCCGGGTCCTAGCCCTGGCTCTGACCCCACATCCATAGGAGCAGGGGCCACCCCAATGCAAGGCCCAGGTCAGTGCCCCTGGCTCCCAGAGTCCTGTCTGGCTAGTGGGACAGGGAGGGCCTTGTCCAGGGTCAGGGAGCCAAGCTGGGACATGTGTGCCAGGCCCATGTGGGTGCGTTCCAGGCAGGGACAGTGGGTGGGCCACACAATGACTCACTCGTCCGTTCACTCACTCACCGCTGAGCAGCTGGTTCTGCCCGCCTGGCCCTGCGGAGCAGCGCATGGGCGGCTGGGGGAGTGTAGGGGTATCGAGGGAGGACGGGGGACAGCTCCTGGAGGAAGGGACACTGCACGGAGTCTTAGGAATGACCTGGCGTGGAAGGGGGGTGGGAGGAGAAGAGGCTATGGGGGTAGAGATGGTGATGGAGAGAGACTTGGGGTGGTGGACACATAACAATATACAGATGGTGTGTTATAGAATCATACACCTGAAACCTGTATAATTTCATTAACCAATGTCACCCCAATAAATTCGGTAATAAAATAGTAATTTAAAAACAAAAGGAATGGCCTGGCATACGGATGAGATGAAGTTCGAGGCCACGGTCAGCCCCCGTTGGGGCCAGGGGCAGGGCGGTGCCCACAGCAGGGGCAAACCTGGGCTGGCTGACGGCTGGGGGGCAGAGGCGTGGGTTCCCCCACCCCACCCACCGGGAACGAGCTGCGAGGGCTGCCACTAAACGCAGCCGCACACTCATCCCCAGGAGCCACCCACCTGCCCACAGACCCAGGCCACGTCCTCCGGACCCTCCACGCCGATTCTCTGCATAGGATGTGCCTGGAGGTGCGTCTGCGACACCCCATGCAGGACAGACACACTTCACACTGGGCCCGTCCCACAGCCGCACCCCACTCAGCCAGACCACATCTCCCGTCCCTCCAAACACAGACACGCCCAACCCGTGCACACGCCCAGGGAAGGGGTGCTGCTGGGGGCGCAGATGGCCTGGCTGGCTTAGTCCTGATTCTGCCATCGACGTCCCGGCCCGGGACCGAGTGAGCCTGGGGAGGGCCCGGCTGGAGTCGGTGATGGTCTGTGGGGCAGGGCCCGTCCCTCCCGGCTCCTCCACCTGCAGGAACCTCAGACCCTTGTAAACTGAAGTGTGCGGGAGCCGTCAGCCACGTGGGGGAGGAGTGCGCGGGCGGCCAGGGCAGCGGTGCCACGCGTGTGCGCGGGAGACAATGGCCTCCTCCTCTGGGTGCGCCCTCCGGCCACCTTGCTGGTTACACCACAGGGTGGGGGAGGCGGGGGGGGAAGGGCGGGGGCAGTGTCCCCGGCAAACCTGCCAAGAACAGGC